AAAATTGCGTTGACTTCTGAAATTACGGGACTAAATAGGAATTTGCTCCGATCCCAGGACCAAAATTGCTGCAAGGCCAAAGCAGCAGGACCAAAATTGCAATTTTGCCTTAATAAATGTGGCTTTAGTATGAAGTGATCGATTTTAATTGACATATCTAATTGTCTTTTTTATAGGAAATCCTCCCTATATATAATTCCCGAATGCGCTGAGCCTACGTGGCTGCTTCTGGTGCTTCGGAATCCTACTTGGCGAATAATCATGCTTTGTAGTTTGGTTTAGACAAATAATATTATATATTAATAATTAATAATCTAGGTTCGGGCATTCCATAAAAATTATTTAACTAACTTAGGTAGTTAATATTAATTGTACTAATATAACCCTTTAATTCTTTGTAATTTTAGATAGTGAGTCACTAAGTGACTAATATATCTCTGACTTTTGATTTGTTTCCTACAATTAGTTATTGAATTGTAAATGTTTTTTAAAGGTTGATAACTTTTGTATTTCTTATCGGTTTTACATATATAATATAATAAATTAATCATCTTTTGATGATCTTCGATTTGACATCCATATTGTATATATGAAATAAATAAATTATATTTATCTTTATAATAATAAAAAATAATAATATTTACTAAAATTCATTAGAAAAATAAAATTATTTATCAATTGATATATATATATATATGTTTAATGTAGTTATATGTTTTAAGTTAAAAAATTATTATAATATAACATAAGTAAGTCGTACAAATAAAAAATGTCATACTAAATATAATAATATAAATATTTTTAAAAGGTATTTAAATTTTCAACTACCTTTTCTCAGTAATTTTATATTTTAAGAAAAAAATTAGCAAGCACCCGTGTAATACACGGACGTTATACTAATATGCTGTTATTAGTAAATGATCAAATTTATGATATAAAGTGGACGATTTTATTTTGGAATATAAAATGTGTGAATTTAAATAGTATAAATTTTATTTAGTATAAATAAATGGTATTACATATTAGTCCATATTTTTTAATTTATAAATATTATTTAATATACATTTTTTTTATAAATATAAATAATTCTTGCCCGCACGGGATTCATACTAGTCAATGCTCAAAAAGTACAAAACAAACCATGTGAAAAATATTGCTGCTAGAAAATTAGGTTTGTGGCGAAATTTCTAGAGAGAGCGCGCGACGCCACGCCAACATACGGTGGGCCCCGCCATGGGTGACGATGCAAAAGCTTTTCCCCAACTCGGCCCAGTCGACTCAGTACAGTACCCCGAGTTCGTGGCGGAGGATGACTTTCCTCCTGCCACTCTCTCCTCCACCACCATTAACAATAATAAAAAAAAAAAATAAAAAAAAAAATACAGAAAATCGAGAAAAAGTGCAAAGCGGGTGGTCGCACGTAGGAGCTTCGAGCCACTATCTTCCCGCCACATGGCGCAATCCCCTCGCTGCTGGCCGCTCGCTAGCCTCAAATTAAATCCCCAATTTCTCCATTTTTCCTAAAATTTGGAACCCTCACCGTATTTTCTAGTGGCTCACGTTTTTGTTCAATGGCGGAGGTTTGATAAAAGCAAAAAACAAGGGGAACTTTTGTTTCTGCTGTGTTTTTTCTGCTTGCTTCCTTCAATTCAGAACTGTTGCAGCTTTTTTTTCTGTTTACCGTTTTGTGCTAGAGTGAGCTGGAAGATTTTGATCCGCCATTTGTGAGTTTCTGTTGAGCTTGCGGGGTGCGTATGTGAAGATCGGAGGTGACACTGCTGGGTTTCCAAATGGCTATCTTTGAAGGTATGTGTTGGGCTTTTCAGTTGTTCCTTGCTTTTGTTTCAGAGTAATTTGCGATGGCAATGTTGATGATGTTGGATTTTTTTTCTTTTCTTTTCTTTTTTTTTTCTCTTGTTTTTTCTGTGCTTTCTTGTGGCTGTTAAACTGGGCTCGATGCAAAAAGGTTGAAGGAGACATGGCGGTTCGTTTTGGGTGAGATTTTGGTAAAAATGGAGTTAATTTACTTGCTTTAACTACTGCTTGCAGAGATGCGTCTCACTCCTTTTTCTACCTTTTTCCCTTTCTCTGATTCAAACTCGTGTGATTCTGATGATTATGTTGCTACTGTCTCGTTCTTGTGTTCGTAGGAACTGAATGATTTTCGATAGATCCTGCTTTAAAAAGGACAAAGCCACTGCTTATGAATGAATTCACGGTTGGAAACAGAGGCAGAATTTCCATAGGTTTCTTTTGTTATAAGGTTCTCTCTTGTGCAGTATTAGTGTTGCTTTGTCAGGTCCCATCAAATTTTACCACCGGAAGAGCGATGAATGAAAGTGTCCCGTGTGTCTGTAGCTGTAGCTGTAGCTGTACCTGTAGCGTACCCTGCTCCTCTGTTTAGATGGACCCTTATTCATCTGGAGAAGACCTTATTATAAAGGTCTCATTAGATTTATCCTAAGGAGCTCTCTACACCTTAGAGTTCTCTTATAAAGACCATGAAAGCATTTTGTTTCTCTAAATTTACAGACAAGGAAACCTTATACAATCACTAAGCAACGTGAGCGATGGACTGAAGAGGAGCATAATAGGTTCTTAGAAGCCCTCAAGCTCTATGGCCGTGCTTGGCAGCGTATAGAAGGTTGATAATCTTTTGGTTATATGTTTGACTGTGTCTTTCTGTTTATTTTTTAACTTTGCATATTATTTCATGTTGATAACATACTTCCTTGTGTAATCAATCGATTTTTGAAATTTTTATTATTATTGTTATATGATCTCAAGATGTGTACTTGATATATCTCAAGCGAAACAAATATTTTTGGGATATATTTTTCTTTTAATTATGGAACTGTCTGCCGTCTTCTTCTTGTTTTTGTATTGGTGGTGGTGCAGAACATATAGGAACCAAGACTGCTGTGCAGATCAGAAGTCATGCACAAAAGTTTTTCACTAAGGTCAATCATACTGCCTTTTCTTTTTATATTATTTGGTGAAATATCGAATACTGCTTGCTTGCTTTTGGTAGTAATGGATATTAGGTAAGTTATATTTTCATGTATGATTGTTTATTCTCTTGTTATCAAGACCGCAGAAGCTGAAAGTTTGCTGAAAAAGGTACTGTGTTCCAGTATCTTATATGACATATATTTGCCTGAATGATCGGTTTTCTGGGTTATTTGAGACATGATTTTCAAGTATGGAACACATTTGTTATTGTTCTTATAATTTGAACCCAAAAAGGGAAAAGCTGAATCAAACTAGATGGTTGGGGTTTCAGATGAGGTATATTCTAAGAACAGTTCTTAATGAACTTCCATTTTGAACTCAAGCAACAAAACATGACAAGTGAGAACTACCTTACATGTATTATATAGTCTATATATTTCCCAGTTTTATTTTTTTTTTATCTTCCTATTGCAACTGCTCCATCCTCTGTGGACCTTCTTCTAACAAAAATATTATCTTCACATACTATTAACTAGTACATTATTTATATACATGTTTATTAGATTTAAATCAATTTGTTTTTGAGGATTATACTAATGTAATCTTGCATTAATAAGTTTCTACAAGTACTTTTTGCACGATTATGTTTGATCGTATTTTCATTTCTTGACCATTTTGTTCTAGGAGCAGATTTTGGAGGTCACACTTAGGTCAAGTTTATAATAACACCTAAACATCTTTCCTAATAAGATTTTTCCTTTTGTTTTGGTTCATGCCAGGATTGGTTGCTCACTATGTTACAAAAGTAACTGCTGCGCGATTTTTTCAAACTGCATAATCATGTGAATATGCATTATAGTTAATTTACAAGCTGCATAACCTTATGACCCATTCTTGTGCCTATTTATCATGTGATTGCTAACAATTGTGACCCGAAATTTTCCAAAACATTCCAAGTCCGTTCTACTTCATGGACCCACATAGAGCCTCATCCAATACAGATTCAAATAATTTATTTCGAACAGTTCACTAAAAGCGAAGAACCATCTTCTATTTTGGCATCTTCATCTTCACCTGTAGGTCATTCATGCTTTCTTATTGTGCACATGTGTGGGAAATAGAAGATTTTGGTTTTGTTGTTTGGTAATGAGATGTTTTGATCAAGTTAAAGGATTGATTAGACTGTTAGGTAATGATAAACAGACATATTGATTAGCTTTTAGGTCAAATGACCTAAAAAGCTGGGTAGAGGGACACTTCCTAAGAGATAATTGCACATTTTTAGGTAAGAGAACCATTTGTCCTGAAATTATAAAATTTTGTATATTTATAATAACTCGTATTATATTTATGTTTGATTTACATACAATATGCGCTTTATCAATACAACAACAACAACAAAGCCTTTTAGTCCCAAACAAGTTGGGGTAGGCTAGAGATGAAACCCAATAGAAACAGTAGTAAAAAAAAAAAAAAAAAAAAAAAAAAAA